GAGCCCAAGTCCAGCCCCAGAATCCACCCTGGACACTGGAGGCCACGTCAGCTCTCCACCACTCCTGGTCCCCAGTTCTCTGAGACTCCGTCCTCCCTGTCAAACAGGACCGTGGTGACGTGCTCCAGGTCCCCAGGTGGGACAGTGCTCACGCGCCTTCCCTCCAGGCCTGCAGCCTCCCACCCTTGCTCCTTGGCTGGGAGTCGGCCACAGCAGACCCTGAGCCTTAAACCGCCCTGGTCAGCTCCTGCCCTGCAGCTAGAGTCCTGGAGTCCCTGCTGTGCTCCCTGAGGTGCCCTGATGTGCCCAGAGTGTGGAGGGGCCCAGGCAAGAGTTTGGACAGGTACAGGTGGGCCCAGTGGCACCCCCACCTGTCACCCCAGCAGCTCAGGAGGCTGAGGCAGGAGGATCACAAGTTTGAGGCCAGCCTCAGCAACTTAGCAAAACCCTAAGTTAAACAAAAAGGGCTGGGGATGTGGCTCAGTGGTAAAGCAACCCTGAGGTCAATCCCCCCTCCCAAAAAGAGAAAAGAAGGGTCCAGACAGCAGCACACTCCCGCCCCGTGTCAAGCTGTGAGCCGGCCTCAAGGGTCCTGACCGGGCTGGCACCCAGGGCCAGGCAGCCAAGCTGACTGGGGACCCAGCCAGGTGTAAACCAGGTCGCTTGGATCCCAAACTGGGGGCTTTCCTCGGCGTCCAGTGTCCTTCCTGCCCTGGGCCCCAGGCCCGTCCCCAGCCTGACCGGCTCTTCTCGCTCCCTGCCCTGGGCGCAGATACCTCTATCTCCTGTTCTCCGAGGACGACACGCTCTCCCTGGAAGACTGGGTGTTCAACACCGAGGCCCACCCGCTGCCCGTGAACCACTCGGACAGCTCCGGCAGCACCCGGCGCCCATACTGACCGTCCCCACCGCTCTGGGCGCTCAGCGATGCCTGGCCTCTCGGGGACCCAGGGGACCCGGGACTGCTCCCCCAGGGACGGGGAACGCCGGCCCAGCCCCGGGCAGACCATGGACAGACGACGAGTCAGACTGGCCACTACTTTTCCTCTGTGAGGACACAGGACCTGGAGTCTCAGCGCTGTCATTAGGGCCGCGGTCACGCCGATGTGACCGAGGCCAGACATTCCTTTCTACGGAGAATTTCTACGAAACCCACCCCCTCGCCATCGGGGCCAAGGACGGGCGTCGGCACTCTGACCCCGAGTGTCCATTCGCTTCCTTTCCTTTGGGGGTTTTCTTGCTTGGTTTTTTGTTTTGTTTTGTTTTGTTTTGTTTTTGCTTAATTTGCTTTTTCTTGACACTCGAGCCTCTTACGATGATGAATATCATTTTCAAAAATCCCGTGCGTGCTCCGCGGAGCCCTCCCGATCGGGGACGCGGTGGGCAGCCCCACTTGGTCCCGACCCTCCTCTCATCCCACCGCCTGCTGCCAGCGCGCACCTGGTCGACCACGGGTCATTCACCTGGGGGTTTTGCGGAGGGGCTCCCTTTGATTTGGGCCTAAGTGTTACAGGTCACTAGTGCTACTTCCATTATTGTCATGGAAACCTGTGAACTGGAATAAAGGAGTTGATTGAATAAGGAATAAGATTGGGCTCATTGCACACCAGTGACGCTGGGGGAAGTGCCACCACGTTCTCATCAGAAAGGAGAACCAACCAGCGGTGGATCCAAGGTCTGATTTAGTGAGCGATTTCCACTTGTATTGCTTTCCCTTAAATGGGTCTGAATACATTCAGGAAGCGCGAGCCGACCCTGTCGCTAAAGTTGGGGCTTTAGACTCAGGTTGAGGGTTGGAGGAAGCCCAGAGAGGAGCAGCAACTTGCCTGAGGTCACACAGCCACTAAAAGGGCAGAGGTAGTTTCCTGGCCACCCTGGGCCTCTGTTCATGGACTGTCATTCGGCAGAGGCTGGCCTAGAGGACAGGGACACGGCCAAGAGCAGGACAGTCATAAGCCGGCAGTCAAGGAGGCGGATCATAAAGGCAACCTTGAGCTGGGTGAGGGGCCTGCAGGTGCAGGCACAGGAGACGGGGTGGGCTGAGCCAGCCGTGGCCAGGACCACTCTTAGGGGCCTAGGAATCCCCCAGGACAGATGACTTTCAAACCAAGACCTCAAGATGAGGAGGTGCAGCCATAAGAGCATCCAGCACCCGGCAAGCCCAGACCCCCGTCCCGCCCTCACGGTGCCCACCACTGCCCCCAGGAGGCCCTGAGACCATGGGCAGGACCAGGAGCTCGTCCCCACACTGAAGCGAGTCTCGTCCACAACGTGTCCCATGGCTGGAGCCACAGGATGATGCGGAGCCCCTCCCCGTGGCTCTGTTCTTTTCCTTTGTTCTGGGGACTCAGCCCCCCAGAATCCTCTTGAGCAGAGCGGTGGGGGCACAGTCCCCATGGCAGGAACCCCGGGGGGCCTCGGGGAAATCAGTCGCTGCAGTCTCTCTAGGCCCACTGCAGGTACTAAAAAGCAAAATAAGGAAACCCACTGCACAAACCCTGTAGAAAGGTCAGGATATCAAGATAAGCAGGAAGCAAAAATCACTCGCCATCCTACTCTCCAGAATGAATACTGTTATATTTTCCTCTAGATCTTTTTCTACGAATATATAGAATATATATTTTGCAAACATGGTATCATCCTATGCATACTGTTTTCTTATAATCTGCTTTTGCACTTAATGATACAATGTGAACCTCTTTCCGTGTCAACAAATATACATTTATGTCATCACTGTGCCTGGTTGCGTAGTATTCCGTTTGTGTGCCGTATCATACTTGTTTGGTCTAAGCCCTGTTGCTGAGTTTTTGGGTTTGTGTTAGTTTGGGGTCTTAGTTACAAATAATAGAAACCAATTCTCTCTAACTTTAAAAAAAAAAAAAAGTCATGTATTGAAATGCCGTGGGGTGACTCTTGGAATCTCAGGAAAGAGAAGAGCCAGACCTCAAGAAAGACCAGAAAGGTTTTAGTTGCCAGGAATCCTGCAAGAATGAGGGAGCGGCCTCCCCAGACACCATCAGGATGGATGAATCCAAAGTCTCCAGGTCCTCCCGTGTCTCCTGTCGAGTTGGCCCCACCTGGGTCATGAGCCTGCCCCTAGCCAAGGGCGGGGCCAGCATCTTGATTGACAGATCCACCAAGATCCCGTGCCATGGGCAACAGAGTGTTCCCTGGAGGGAAATCAGATTTCGTTACCAAAATAAGGGCCCCGAGTGCTGGAGAGGCGGGAGCAGGGGCCTAATGCAGGCTGTTTTGATTTTTCAGGGTAAAGGGAGCTTTGACCTTCGCTCTGGCTACCCTTGACCGATTGTTTCCAGAGTGTCCTCTCCCACAGTGTCTCTCCTCTCAAAGCGGCTTTGCAGTGCCCCAGCCCCGGGCTCCCTGCTGGGCCCATGTCACTGTCCCCTCCACACTCCCCGGAATCCTGTTCTCTGCTTTATTGCTGAGAGCAACTTGTAACAATGAATATTTTAAAGTCCACCCTCCAGGAGGGCTCTTGCTGGGGGAGAAATCGCCGTTTGGCAATGTATCTTGGTTCCAGGGATGAAAATAAGGAAGACCAGGAGGACTGGGAAGGGGGGGCGTGGGGGGTGAGTCAGCCTCCCTGGAGCTGGGGGCTCCTCCAGCCCAGCCTGACCCAGCCTTCCCCAGCAGCAACACCCCCTGCGGGGCCAGCAGGCGGCCAGTTCTAAGCCTCTTCTTGGCCCTGGCTGAAGCTGGAACTTCCTTTAGCACCTGTTTTCTTCATCCGTGGGCTTGAGGCTGGTTCCTTCCCAGACTCTGAGCCCTGCAGAGCGTCACACCTCGGGTGGGGTGGGGGATGCACAGCCCTGTTCCAGCAGCCTGTGTTTAAATGATCCTGTGTTTGATCGTCCAGCCAAATACACTGGGAAGAAAAGCAAACTTGGAAAATCTGATTTAAAAGGCAGCCTTCTGCCGGGCATGGTGGCGCGCACCTGTAATCTCAGGACTGGGGAGGCTGAGGCAGGAGGATTGCAAGTTTGAGGCCAGCCTCAGCAGCTTCATCAGATCTTGTCTCAAAATAAGACCCAAGGGCCGGGGATGTGGCTCCGCACCCCTGGGTTCAATCCCCAGCACCTAAATAATTAAAGAAAGGGAGCATCCCTGAGGTCAGGATGTGATTCTGCTTCTCTGCTGCAGGGAGGTGACCCACTGTGACTGGAGGTGGAGAGTGGGCAGGTCTCCCAGCTTCCCACCCCCCCCCCCCGCCCGGGGTCTGTCCTTGGAAGTCTGTAGTTGCCGTGTCACTGAGCTGTCCACCATCTGTGATGAAGGCTGACTCACCTGCTGTGGGGGGTCAGCAGGGGCTAAGGCTGCTTCTGGAATCTGAAAATCTCTGTTTGGTTTCCTGTATTCGGAGCAGGATTTCGCCCCCGCTCAGCCTGTCTCTTCAGTCGGAGCTTCTCAAACCTGAACGTGCCCGTGAATCGCCTGGGACCTTGTTAAAGGGCAGCTTCCCGTTCAGGGGGCCTGGCGCGGAGACGGAGCCGCTTCTCTAACAGGCTCCCAGGAGATGCCAGGGTCCTGGGGCCGCCCGGAGCAGCAAGGCCGCGGGTAGCAGCCACTCGTTTGCCACCTCCCTTTTATTGGTGTCCCTGGGGCTGAAACTGCTCCAGAGGCTCAGGCGCTGGGGTGGCATCTACAGGGACCTCGGCTGCAGAGGCTCCGACCTCAAACAGCTGTGCCCGGGGCCCCTCCCCCAGGACAGTCAGGACAGACAGGATCAGGCAGCTGGTGGCTGGGGACGATGCTTTCTGCGCACCCCGACATCTGCGTGGGCGGGTCCTGAGCATTTCAAAAGTGGTCAGTGCACGTGAGGAGCTCAGTTTTTAAATTTTATTTCATTTTAATTAAATTTAAATAGCCATATGAGGTACTGGCTCAGAACTGGAATTTAGGAAGTCAGTACCCAGCTCATGCCCCACCGGACCCTCTGCCACCTGCATTTTACAAAATAATCTTGCCACAAAACATACTGTTTGGAGACTCAAGGGTCCCCTGAAACATGCCTGGGTATTTTTACACTCAGTTCCGGGTCTCTGTCTCCTGCACAAGCCCTGGCCGCTGCTGGGCTCTCTCACCCGTGGTTTACCTTCAGAGGTCAGGTCAGCTGGGAGGCAGAGGAAAGAGGCCGCCCTGGGCTGGAACCAGGTGGAGCAGCATTCAACTCTGCTCTGACCTTTCCCTGGGCTGTGTGGCCTTGGGCAAGCTCCTTGACCCCTCTGAGCTCTGCCTTTCCATCTGTTTCCCAGGTTAATTGAGTCCCCGCCCCGAGTGGGAACTCCATCCCTGGAAGCCTCGCCCTCGCTGTAAGCGCGAGGCAAACGCTGCTGTCAGAAAATCTCCTTTTTAAACAAAACGCTCGGAAACTACATCAAGCGGGCCCGGGAGACCGCCCCAGCTCTCAGAGCAATCAATCTGAGCGTGTTCGGCTTCTCGCACCGAACAGGCCTGTGGCCGGGAGCCCTGCGTCTCCGGAAACTGGGAAACTGGGATGGAGATGGGTCCGCCGTCCTGAGGCTTCGGGTGGCTGTGGGCGATGCCCCTCGGGGCAGGGGCCAGGGCGGGAGCAAGGTGCCAGGACGGGGCCACGCAGCGGCCTGGAGGCGCTCTGCTGGGGGGGTCGGGGGTCCATTTCGTCTTCCCCCTTCATCCCGGGACGTGATGCCCCAAACGGTCTGCTCTGAGGAACAGCTGTCGGGTGGCCTCCAGGGAAGTCCCCTGCCTCCTCCCGGCCACGGCCACACCCCTGTCTCCCTACCGCGGCAGAAGTGAGCCCGAGTCCAGGTCCCCTCACCCCACCCCTGACATCAGCTGTTCCAAGTAAGAATTGAAAGTATCCAGTGTCCTCTTGGCTTTAAAGGCTCCCTGGGGACAGAGGCACGTGACCTCGTGACCTCGGCAACGTGTAACTCAGGGTTCCTTCCGGAAGCCCTGGGTGCCCCGGGAACCCAGTCTGGAAAAGCCGTGGACGGGTGGAGTCTTTCCTTCAGAAACTCGGCCCCAGGGTCCCCAAGGCGCCCACAGCCCCTGCCTGGGCTCCCCACCCCCACTGTCACCTCCTCCAGGAGCTTCCGCTGGCTCCCCACCCTCCCTTGGCCCCAGCTTTTAAACAGCCCCTGGCCTGGGCCGTGGCCTGAGCCGTGGCCTGAGCACAGGTTCCCAGGAGTCGCCTCCGTGGACTGAGCGCGCCCAGGTGGCAGGAGCCTTGTCTCCTCGCCCTGGGGCCCCCGACTGGCTGGGGACTGGGGACTCATCCTCCACCAGGCCTCCGCCCACGCTGAACGGCTGAGAATGGACACCAGGACGGGGCAGGGAGAGGGTGGCCTACTTTACTGTGGGGTCTCTACAGAGGGCCCTGCTACGGGCCAAGGTCGGGGGTTCTCTCACTAATGAGCAGGAAGGTCCCAGGAAGATGGGGTGCTGGTCACGGGGCCCGCGGCTCACGCAGTGAGGATGTCGGGGCTCAGCCCTCCCCCAGCACCTGAGCCTCCACCTCCTCCTGTGGCCAGCCCTGCAGTCACCAGGGCTGCGGCCATCGGCACGTGCAGACCATCCAGCCCTGGCTCAGGAGGCCCTGGGCAGCCACACCGTCTGCCCCTCAAAAACCACTTCTCTTAATTCACAGTGAAACCTGCACCATAAAAATTGAAGTTAAAAAAAAAAAAACTAACATCCAAAGTCCTCCTCACCACTTTTCCCTCACTCTTGGCCAGGGGCCTCCTGCAGCCCTAGCTGCCTCCTGGGCTGTCCTCTCCCTCCTGGTATGTCCCTTTCACCTCCAGTGTCCAGTTAGCCTGGCACCAGGCTTCCAGAGCAGCCTCGGGACGACTTGAAGAACCCGCGCCAGACCTGGGCCAGAAAGTGCAAACGCCTTCCCTCTGCGGCTGGTCCCAGCAAAACGACCCTCCAGAGCCCCAAACCTGACCCACGATGCCCTCCCCTGACCACCAAGGGGCTGGGTGGCCCTGACTGCCACCACCCACCACGGCTCTCTGGTGTCACCAACCCGGCTTCTGCAGGAAACCACGCCCCTGCCCTCTGTGACCTGGCTTCTCCTCCTTAGGTCCCCTGGGCAGCTGGGTCCCTCCCCTGAGGGACACCTGAGCCTCCTCCTGGCCTCTGGTGCTCGGGACACAGAGGGCCCTCCTCTTCCCTCCGGCTTGGCCTCCAGCGGCTCAGTGGCGCCCAGGAGGAAGCCCCCCGGCAGCTCCCTGAGCCTGAACATCTTGGTTCCACTTTCACTTTTCCATGGTTCTGGGGATGCAAGCCAGTCCTGTCTCTCCTGGAGTTTTTGGTTTGGCTTGTAGCACTCTGGGTAGAACCCGGCCCTGGAGGCCAGGCAAGCCCTCTACCCCTGAGCCACACCCGCTGCCCTCTGCTTGAGCTTTTAAGTGAACTTTAAAAAGTTGTTGTTTTTTTTTTTTAATTAAGACAAATGGATGCAGTAAGACAGAACATATTCTCCCCTCAAATGTCCAGCTCAAAGATGCTGGTAAGTGTCCAAGCCCCTAGACCCACAGCCATGACCAAGTTCTAGAATGTTTTCAATACCCAGAAAGCTCCCTGCCAAGATCTGCCACCCAGAGCAAGCCCTAGGGCACCTCTTCACCACTGATTAATTTCAGGCACAAAATTTCAAGATTCCCTTCTTGGGCCAGGCACAGTGGCACACACCTGTGATCTCAGTGACTCGGGAGGCTGAGGCAGGAGGATT